ATCTATCTATCTATCTATCTATCTATCTATCTATCTATCTATCTATCCAGCCACCCATCCATCCAATCAATTTTGGTTGTAAATGCTGCCTCCCTTTTTAAACATATAAAACATAGCACCTTTATTTTATTTTTTTTATCCTTTTATTAGAATGTGTTTAAACACAAACACTTATAGAGACACTACTGATCTGAGCTGCATCACATCTTGGTCCAGTAACAGTGAGTGTAACTGACAGGAAGAGCATCTCAACGTGGTGAAAATGACAGGAATTATGGTTTCATTCTTCTTTTTGGAGAACATTTTCAGGTAGATATGAAATAATAAAGCTATCTGCATTATGGGGAATCTTTCTAACCTGTTTATTCAGCCACCTGGTTGAAGAAATCTCTGAACTAAATCAAGACAAATCTGAATGTGCATCAGATTCATTCTGCTGGCACCAGGACTGCTAAACCCCCAACATAGCACATCATGATAGAAATCATTTATTTTATTAGTCTGAAAATGTACTTCTACAAATTAAATTCATACTTTAAAAGTAGCACTTTTTATGCTATATGGGTCAACACCTGAGCGAGGCATCAACACCAGGGAAGCCAAGTGCCAGTAACTGGTAGACAGAACCGTAGCTCAAGACTGTAAGACCAGGCGCACAAACCTGTGCACTGCCTGGATTGACTACAGAAAAGCCTATGACCCAATGTCACATGCATACTGGAGTACTTGGAACTTCACTCACTATAGGAGCAACAAATCGATAACAATAATAAAGTCCAACAGCATTAGATTTCCTGTTTTCTCTGGTTTATCTTTGAATTTTGTTTTGCTTTGTTTTGTTCTGCCCTTTTTTTATATAAAAAAGTACAGTATCCCATTTTTATACCTTTACATGTTTCACTGTTGGCATTTATCTATAGGAGAACACGTTTTTTCTTAGTTTTGGCCTCTGGAGTTTCCAAGACTGCCATACTTCATCAAACACATAGTTAACTCTTTGCTGTTTGAAAAGGAAGAAAAATAACAAAGACCAGAATAGTGAGAGACAAATACATCACAAGAAAAGATAATTTAACAGCTTAATTTTCCAAATACATGATGTTATTTTAAACTTGGTGTGGAAACTTCTCCAGTATTTGACATCTCTGAGCTCACGTGCCAATTTCTCACCACTTTTAGGCTCAATGGGGCACAGATTGTTCTTTGCCAGCTTTCCAACTGTATGCTTTTTTTTTTCCAAACATATAAAATGTGGTTTCCTTCATTTGTATTCATATTTTTTGTTTGTTTTGGTTTTGGTAAAAGCATTTTACTATTAAAAGCAAGAAAAATTTTCCATAAATACCCCAAAATCTATCAATTTCAAAGTTATTTTAGTTACAATTTTTATCATGATTTAAGCTTATACAGAAAATGCCAAGTTATTATTTTAGTCATTGAACCTTTGGCAAAAAAAAACAAAAATCTATGTGAATAAATGTGCAAATAAATAAATCAACGATTCAAATCTTACTAAAATATTTTACAAGAGAGAATTATAAAACTTATACAACATACTTAGATCATGTCTCCCACAGACTAAAAACATGCATGTTAGTCTGCCTTCAGGCCCAGGCCTCCCTTGCAAAAGAGATCTGTGATCTCAATGGGATTTGCCTGGTTAAATAAAGGTTAATAAATGTCACCTGTCTGTCAGAACTATAGTTACAGTGGTGAAGAGGAAAATTGTCTGTAACACTTGTTTATAAATTCAATTCAATTCAGTTTATTTATATAGCACCAAGTCACAAATGAAGTCATCAGGGCACTGAACAGAAACATTCACTTACATCAAAAGTAATTTAATAACGTTATTTATCTGAGGAGCCAGCAGACTGCTTTGAGTCTTAACTTTGTCACAGAGTCATCTTGAGCAAGCATGAAGGCGACAGTGGAAAGAAAAAACTCCCTCATGAGGAAGAAACCTTTAGCAGAACCAGGTTCAGGACAAGCGACCATCTGCTTCCACTGACTGGGTTTGAGAGGAGAGAAAGGAAAATATCACAAAATAACACTTTTTTTTAGAATCAGTTGATAAGACAAGTGTGTCCCAAACTATCAGTTCATCTGAAAATACTAAGAACTCTTAAATTTGAGAAAAATCATAATTTCTGCAAAGAAAAACTTCAATAGGCCATTTTCTAATGTAGTTTTATTCAGTGGTAGTGAAATATGAACTTAACGAGTAGTATATTTTACACTATTCTAAACTTTAACATAAGAGTATTTTTATTATTATTATTATTATTTTGATTATTAGAGGTTTAAAAGTTTATGATTTACTTTCATATGTGAGAAGGTACTATTTTGAAAAATCCCAGACCGGAAGTCTTAGCTGCTAGCTTTGATGCTAACTTGATAGCAGCGGTGTTTTGGGCTTCCCTTTGTTAGCCGACTGACTTCCGTTTGCATGTTTTTCTCCTCTCAGATTTCTGGAATTTACAGTCTTGTGGGAGTGAGAGCTGCATGCCTCATTTATTAACAAGTGATAGTTGCGGTTCCGTGTTTTCGAACAGGAGGTCCAGCATTTCCGCCTGACTCGAGCCGGAGCCTGTTACTCTTTTTTTCCCACTGGTTAGCTGGCTAACACAGGCCAGCTGAGTTAAATCACCCAACATGTTTCGCTTCTTGAACGACGCCGACGACGACCCCTTCATGATGTAAGTACTGTCATTTATGACGTTTTGTTCAGATATTACTCTTAGTAAGCGGCTGAAAGCTGCATTTATTCGTGTAAACTTGTAATTTCCCGTTGTCCCTGAAGCAGGTAGCCTACCTTTCGTTATTCTAGCCAGCTGTAGTGGGGGCCTAGCTTAGAGGGCCACCATATTAGGTAGACAATAAACCAAATAGTGATATAAGAGCTGTCTGAGAAAAGCAAATAAATATATTTTCAACAGCAACAACTGATTAATGCTACTCTTTTGTTTACTAAATAATCACTTAAGCTGTTTGGGATGTGGTTGTTGGCACATCTAGTCCTTTCCAGTCATTTCTTGTACAGGATATTTACATAATCGCCTTTACCCTGTACTGCAAGTGCATGAAGATTATTCTTTTGTATTTTGGAAATACTCTAAATGATGTCTAATGTCAAAACTGAAGTATATTAACCTTACACGATCAGCCCTCACACTGCTGACACGTTTTGCCTAGTTTATTATCCTAAATGTATCTTATTACAAAATGATATTCCCTAACCCAATCAATATGTAGTTTTTACTCCCAACCCTAAAATAAATGTGAATTTTTACAAAGTTTGGTTCTCGTGTAGACAGAAATCCTCCATCATTGGACGTTTGAGTTTCATTCATAGTGAAAACAAACACGTTAACAAGTATTAGGTGGTGTAGAAAGTGAGATTGGTTGATGCCTCTATTATTAAAAATGTTATAGCAGAACTGCATTTTGAGTAGGGTAGCGCATTTTATAAAAAAAGTAATTGTTGTCATTGAAATTTGTGTGATTGCAGTATCTATACCAAAGGACTGCCGTGCCGGTAAATCATGGACCAACATGGTTGAAACACCCTGCTTTAATGTTCTGCATATTAATAACAAGTGTGGTCAATCCCACAGACTGTCACTGGCCTCACCATGTTATAGTCATCACTGTCATCAGATATGAAATGATAGTGATGACAGATACAGAGTGGAGTAAGGAAAATGTGTTTATTGCAACTTATAAAATCATGGCAATATTATATTATATTATATATAATATTATATGGCACGTCACAAGTTTTTCTGTTATCATACAGCCATAATTTTGAGTATGATTTTATTTTTCTTTTACTTTAATTTGAATGTAGTGAAAAATAACAAAAGCAGGCTCAAGCTGTCTTATTCCTCATATAGCTTTTTGAAATATACATTTTTCCTAACAGATATGAGAACAAACAAAAATAAAATATGAAATGACAAGCCTGAAACATGAGAATGTTTGACTTTGTATTAGTTTAAAGGATCTACTTAATGAGTTGATATTTGAGCTGCAAAAAATTTACAATATATATATATATATATATATATATTAATATCTTGATATCAAATCAATGCAGCACACCATAAGCTTTTTACCAAACCAGATTTCCAGGACTGGTTGAAAGTCTTAAACCCAGTTTTAGGTTCCTATGAGTTCCTAAAACTGGGTTTGGACTTCCAGTAGACCTTGAGTAAACAATACTTTGCTTTCAGCTTGATAAATTTGACCAGGTTCTTCCCTGTATTTAATTTAAATGTACCTTTTCTCCTTAGAGTGCAGTTTAAATAACCACACTTGTTTAATTTCTTTTAGGGATCCGTTTGCTGCTCACAGGCACCAAATGAGAAGTATGTTTGGGCCATTTGGGATGGATCCATTTGCTCTTGCACCCCAGATACAGCCACATCGAGCAGCACGCAGACAGCCTGCTGTGGTAATGGGTTGTTTGTTTATTGCACAAATGAGTTTAATATATTGCGTATTTTATTTATACTTGAATTTAAGCTGTCACGTTTTTTAGGCTGGCCCTCTTGCTCCCTTTGGAATGATGGGGATGGTGAGTAGTAGATTATGTGATCTTGTTCTGTAACTGCACAAGTATAATTTGTGTTTTACATTGTCTGAATATATAGGCATCAATAGTTTACAGAGCTTAAAGGGGTTAATTTTAAACTATAGAAAAGATTTTACCAATATTCTGTGTAAATATTAGTTAAAGCAGAGTTTTAGACCTTAGTCAAGTCAAGGTTCTTTATTGTCATTCGCGTCATGTGGTACATGAGGTGGAACAAAATTGTGTACGCAGGGTCCCAGTTACATCCAGCAATATCAAAAATATCAAGTGTAAAAAGAAACGGTAAATAAGGATCTAAGATATAAACTAAGGTATATGCTAATCGAACGCCCAACTGTACTCTAAAAGATCTAAGATGTACGCTAGTCACTAACAGTGCAAAACAACACACCGAACAACTGCAGCACGATTCTCATAGTTTGGTTCGGCTATACCAAAGCATGCACCAAAAATGCAGAAACAAGGCGCCAAAAGTGAAAAATAAATAAATCTACAGCAGCATGGTCCTATTGGCAGAATGGTTCTGATGACGGGGAAGTTATCTTAGCAACACGGTCCAGTTAGCAGCATGATACTGTTAGCAGTGAGGTTCATTTAGCAGTGAGGATTTTCTTAGTAACATGGTCCCGTTGGCAGTTGGATAGTAATATTACAGCAGTTTACTTGATACTATGTACTTAAGGCTATTTTTTTAAATCTATGTTAAACCTTTTCTTCTCCAGCAACTATTTGTAACAGAAAATGGTAAGAAAAACGCGTGAATTTTCTAGTTATGACGAGCCCTAAAATGAAGTACCCTGTATATACAACTTTAAAATGAACATCAACAACATGTGGCGTTTAAATGTGGATAAATAAAGACAAGGTGACATTGCAGGACGAATAAAACTAAATACACATCAGATCTAATTATTTTTGGTGTGTCCAGTGATAAAAAAAAAAAAAAAAGTACTTCACATCACTTTAAACATAGTTTTGTGAATGCGG